AAGTGCGTGCGGCATGCCGCACGTTCCAAAGCCGCCAACGGCGAGTGAGGCCCCATTCTTGACGTCAGCAAGGGCCTTCCCCAACGGCATAACCTTGTCCAGGCCAGCCATGCGGAAGAAGGAACGGCGAAGCATAGGTAACAACGGAGTCCAAATAACACTGGTGTTGTTGCTTGGGTGGCTTACTCCAGCTAGAGTGAATTAAAGTTGCTTTTCCTTTTGCGCCGGGACGTTGAGCCGCACGCAACGGCACAAGCACAACGCGTGAAATGCACGGCAAAGATGAAGAGAAGAAAGAAAAAGAAGAAAAAAGAGGCGAGCGACTCTCAGACACATTCCGCCATTCACGCAGTGAAAAGGCGCATACGCGCGTTGCCACGCCCGCTGCCGGCGCACCCGCGGACAGGCGATGCCGCGACGGTGGGGCGTGGACAGCTCCAAACGGCAAAGTTTGATGATAGCATCATTGTAGAACTCAAAGAAAACCAGAAAATGAAAAATACGCCCGCAAATGAGCCATTATCGATAAGTAAAAAACGAGTGTAGAAGCTGTGTATTTGGGGGAAAACTTACGAATTCTAGCAGGAAACTTTTTTATCTCTTCTCTGCTAAATTTTGGCCTTCTCGTCCACGAGTTGGCTTCCTCACACGCGCTTGTGCTCCCTCTTTTTCGCTCGCAACGAAAGAGCTGAAAAGGAACTAAATTAAAAAGAAAAGCTGAAAGAATAATAATAATAGTAGGAAGGAGTGCATACTGCTTCTCACACACATGTGATGGAGTGGGTACAAGAGAGGGTGAGGAGGGCTATGATGCTAGAAGATCACGCTCATCTTCCTCAAGCTGGGCAATTTCGCGCCACAACGTGTTACGGAGGTTCAACAACTGTTTCTCCTTCGATAAAATCGCCTCCTTTTGGCTCGCAATGGAATTTAGCACACAAACGGTGTCATCGTATGTATTGCATGCTGGGCGCTCGCGTCGGCTTCGCTGTGTGCCGCTGATTGGGGCGGCTGACTCTCTTTCTGATAACTGAGAAAAACGCCGTTGAACGTCCCTTAGAGCGTCGATGATCTTCTTCACTGCATCCTCCTTCTGCTTTTTGCGTTCATGCATCGCAGTAACCGTCTTTGAGAGACTCTCAGACGTAATTACTAACTGGGGCGCTTTGAATGGACCAAACGATAGTGTCCTGGGCTCCTCCCTTGCTACCGGCTTCTTTCTGCGGCAAGACCACTGCGCCGCCTGTCCTGGGGTAGAAAGCATTGAAATATTCTTGTCCACAAAATGCCTTTCATTGGGAATAGCTGCAGCGGCTATATTTTGTGTCACACAAGGCTCCGGAGCAGCCTTACTGCGCAACCCAACCGCCGCCAGTTCCAGTTCCTCCTGCAAGTGGCGGGTGACGCCTTCTTGAGTGTGTCTGCCCTTGGTCGAAATGTCCAAATGAACATCGTTGCCTTCCAAAACAGGAGAACACCGAACACCTCCGTCTGTTGTAGGCTCACACTCCCCAGGAGGCGTTTTATGCCCCGTATTGCATTCCTCAAGCTTGGTAGTGAGGTAATTCAATCTGTATTCTAAGCTGTTCATTTGGGTTTCGACACTCGCCACACGCTCTACAATTTCTTTGGTGTCCAGGATGGCAGCGTCGGTGGATGAAGAGGCGCCGCGTGCCATTGCACTCTCAGGTAAGACGGCAGCGCACGCCAACTGATTCGTTGGCAGCTTAAGGCGTTCTTCTTCCACCGAAGGTTGTTCCGTGGAGGAACGCTTCGTTGCGGTATGCAACGTAGTCTCAAGACGTCGCACTCTCTCAGCCAAATCCTCGACAAGGTTCGTTGTGGTAGCGCGCTGCCTGTTCGACCCTAGCGGGGCGTCTCCCTCAATCGAGGAAGTTGGGTCGTCCCCGTCTTTGTCGGGTGCGGCTTGATGAAGCTCCTGTAGCTTTGCCCAGAGGGAACTCGCAATCGCCTCCTTAACTTCTTGCACCTTTCTTTCCACGAGGCCTGAGACAAGGCCGTCGATGTCACCGTTCATGTGATCCTTGGGTGTGGCAATGCCTCGCTGACTTAACTCGACTACGGCACGCTCCACAGCTCGTAGTTGCTCCTCCAGTAGCCGCATAGGAACATTGTCGTTTTCACAGGACCGTGACGGGTGTTCTTGTTGCTGCGCAATCTCCTCATGCACTCGGTGGGTGAATTCAGCATAGCGCTCCTCTAGCGTCATAGCTTCCCGCCTGAAGAGATAGGGCAAGGACTCTATATCCACCATTTTTGTTTCTAGCGCATTTAGTTCTCTCTCAAATTCCCGAAGAGAGAGTTGCTGTCCCTCCAAAGCCTCATCCAACTGACGCGTCCGCTGCGTTGCCTCCTCAGCTGTACGACGCACATTTTCTAGCTCACGCAACACATACTCTAGCGCTGGGTTGTCTTCAGCTGTCCGTGCTTTGGAGCGTGTCATGGGTACAAAAGGACTGCCGCCTGAAGTGTACCCAAACTCCTCCCGCCGCTGCATGGCAATCATCTGCGCCTCTAGTTCTGTTAGCCGCTGTATGAGATCGCGGGATTGAAAATCCACCCGGTCTTGAAGGGCGTGAAGCGCCACTAGGTCGGCTTCTTGGGCGCAGTTAATGAGATGCTTCATCTCCGTCACGAATGTGATGAATTCCTCAACTGGCACTGTCTGCGGTTTCGATGGGGACCGCGACGGACCACGGCGGCGGACGGCGGCTGCAGAGCTGGCAGCTGCTGCGCCGCCTTCATTGCCCTCCTCAGAGGCAAGACGCGCGCGTAGTTGACGGTTCTGCTCCTCCAGCGCGTCACGGATGCGCCTCTGCTGCTCTTCTCGAGCCCGGATGAGCTCGGCGAATGAGTAATTCTTGGGGGCGCGCGTAGGCAGGCCTTTGCCCTCACACGGACTTAACCCGGCGCCTGGCTGCAACTGAAAATCGCCACGTGACATCCACCGTTTTATTTCTCTTCTTACTTCTCGCCGCTGTTCCGGTTTGCTTTACACTGTACGCCAGCGGCACACACCCGTAATATGGCGGCGCTGAAGGGTCGCCGCATGCACGCACGCACGCACAATGAGAAACCGTGAATGGGAGACAAAGCGAAAGACGGGATTCAGCCGCAAGAGTGAAGGCAGAAGGAGCCCGAGCAGTGCGACAGCGGCCGGTCACCACGCCTTTTTGCACTCATGGAGCACCCCCCCCCCACACACACCACACAAACATGCACAAACACGATCTCCCTTCAATCACCTCAACACCAAAGGCAAACCACAAATGAAACAAAAAAAATACGACAACACAAGAAAACGCAGTTCAGAGTGGTGCATCGCAACGGGGCACACGACTTCTAAAGATTGAATCGGGCTCTTCTAAAAACACGTCCGCGATTCAGCATGTAATGCCGCTATGTGTGTGCCGGAGGCGTCAAGTAAAGAATAAAAACAAAAAAACTCAGAAAAACGTGTTAGCGGCGAACTCCATTTTCTGTTTTGGTAGTTCTGGGACTAGGAAAACGCCCACTCTCCTCCTCAACATTTGCATTCCTACAACGGTGCCGCCGCACGTCGAGAAAGAACGGCACCAGACACCAACCGCGACTCATTATTTTCAACTTCGCCCAGCTCCCTCGTGTAATGTATCCGCAGCGTGTGTCCAGAGACATTGCTGGACAGGGGCGAATTGTGCGGAGACTCTGCAAAAAGTTTCCGCTGCTGGCGCAGCTGGCTTTTCTGCTGTTGTGTTGGCCGCTGTGACGGTGGGACCGTGTTTGTCACTTGCGACGACGACGGTGGTGGTGGTGGGGTCGGTGTCGGTGTTCGTGACACGGCTATTGATGGCGGCGAAGTCTGCCCTATGCCGCGACGGGTACGCAAGTCAGGTGTCTGTTCTACTTCATGCAGCGGAGCAAGCGGAGCGCGCCGCGACGACGGCGTGAGTGTTGTACTTGCAGCCCGACTGGCTTCTGCTGAATTGATGGTGGATGGCGCAAAGACTGCGGAAGGCGCACAACTGCCAGATGTGGAGATACTACCCGCAAAGGACGATTTTACCCCACCAGCCGCGGATGAAAATACTGACTGCGTTTGATGAATCAGCGCCCTTCCACTACCGTTCGTGTTCGTGTCACCAAGTGCCAGCCGTGCCTCGTTGCACCACTCCTGCCCCTGTCCCTCGTCATGGGCGGCTAGTGCTGGCGTTGGCCGTGACGGCATACCGCCCGCAACGAGCATTCCGCGCATAAAACCCCAAATTTCGTTCATCTTACCGACAATGGAGTCCTCCCAACCAGCGAGGGCTTGCGCTAGTTTCACCGCGTTCTTATCCATTTGTCGCGCGTTGTTCTCGAGAAGTTGACAGAAATTTCCCATCACACGGCTCAAACCCTCCAATATGAGGAGATTCTTCGATTCCCCATCCGCATCCTCCCTCATGAGTTGTGTGGCATGCCAATCTCGGCTTCGAGAACCGCGATGTGGTGCGCTGAGGAGGAAGCGATGCACCTCCTCTTCACCCACAGAATATGATCGTCGCATTACGGTTTCAATAGTATCTCCCACGCACTCGCTTTTATGTCGCCGGGCCGCCGTCCGTGCAATCTCTGCATGCGCCTCCACCTTCAATGCTATGACACGCATCGACTGCAGAAACGGCTCTTTCAAGGTGTTACATTCTAACGTGCAATGTTCGATGTCTTTTGCCGCCGACCGGACTGCGCCCCGCACGCTTTGTCGAACCTCCTCAAGTAATTCAGCGGCCCGGTGCATCAGCAGGGCGGCCTCGCGATCGCCGTCCATGCGTCGGACCTCGTCCTTGAGACTACTCAGCTCCGCTTGCGTCCGTTGCAGCAGCCGTTGGGACTGGGCATACTCACGATTGACCCGCTTCACCTCCCGCTGCAGCGTATCCACGCGGTTATGGTTACCATGGCCGTTTTTCGCAATTTCCCCAAAGACAGTCGACGCCATCTTCTCGAACTCACCGATGCGCCGCTCCGTTTTTCCAACCGAACTTGAAACCAGGGCAAGTTTTGCTTCGAGCTCCTCCCTGCAACTATTAACAACAGCTTCAATAGTCTGCTTGCTGTGCTCATGACGCCGCTTCTCCTCACGCCTCCAGAGTGTCATGCATTCCGCCACCGTGGACTCCAACATGGACATTTTGAGCAAAGTGGCATTCGTCAATTGCCGCGCAAAGTTAGGCGGCGACTGCAGCACAACATCCGCCTTTCCTCGCCCTCCCTCCGGAGTGAACTCAAGCATGGCATTCGTCTCATCATTCGTCGCGGCATCGGTTGAACGCAAGGCCTCTACCATTGCCTTCACGATATCTCTATTTGTCACCAATGGTTCTGTGAATAGAGGGGCATCAGATCTTTCTCTTACCCGCGTACGAAGCAAATCCAGAAGGCGATGCAAGTAGAGTTGATAAAGCACGCGGGTCTCCTCGGCAACAAGAAATTGGCTGCGAAGAACCTCCTCCCGTTGTAAAGCCCCCACTAGACGCGCTTGCTCTGCTCGCAGCAATTCCTGTGTATCCGCGAGTTCCTTTTCACGTGTTTTCAACGTCCTTTCAAGCATGCACCGAGCGTTGGCGGAGGCTTCCGCATTAAGCCTCTGCGCTATTGACGCTCTTGCAGTCTGCTGCTCTACCTCCTTCTGCACAAGAGCAGCCTCTGCGGCAGAGGCAGCACGCTGGCTCGCGTGGACGACGCCCTCAAGCTCAGCTATCTTAGCTTCGTACTCTCTTCTTAGTTGTGTCTCTCGTTCGTGAGCCAACCGTTGCTCTTGGGCTCTTTGTGTCGACTTGTTCTCTAATATTAGAAAAGATTCCAGCAAGTGATTTCGCCTCGTCGTCGTCGTCGTCGTTGCACTTGACCCGATGTGTCCCGTAGTTTTGTACTCTGTGACGTCCATGGCGCCATGGAGTTCCCTTTCCTGATGGCTGCCTTGTAGACAATCACCAGGCGGCTGCGCTGCAGAGGGCTCCCAGTGCGTGTTGCTCCGGGCACGCCTCTCCGCAGCCTCCAACCACGGTGCGGCAGCCTCAGCCGGTGGTGAAGACGCACTCCTCGAGCGGTTCAACGACTGCGCACCCATCCTTGGGCTAGAAAGTTGCGTCAGACGCACGCGAAACGGGCGACCGCCGGAAGCTCCTGCCGCTTCTATGCCGGTAGCGTCGGGGCCCCTTCTTTCTTCCTCCCCTGCTCTGTATCCCTGCTGTGTGTCACTGTGCTCAGTGCGGCGAACCCCAAGCAGCAGAGCCTTGCAACGAGGATGGGCGTTGAGAAGGGGCCCCGTGTCGCTGCTGTGGCTGTCGCCGCCACTACCCGCACTGGAGGTGGCCAGACGGTGCTCGCAGCCGCGCTTCTGCAGATTAGAGTCGGGGACAATCGACGGCGCTGTCGCGCCAGACATACCTCAGGCAAACAAACAGCGGGAAACCACAAAGGAATATGACAATAGCGAAAAGGGCTGCTAGAAAAAAAAAATGAAACTCTACAGGGCTGCGATGAATAAGTTTTCTGTTGGAAGGGGAAGACTCTTCGCCCACGGCCAAACCCTGGCAACGCTTTCTCTACTACGGGGCAAAGAAGCAATCTATAGAGGGCAACAGCACCAGTTTGCTCTGAAGGAGGGATGTGAGGATGCGAATGCGGCTATATGGCTGTGTGCCTTGTGTGAATAGGAAGAAGAAAGACAAAAGGCGTCAATTACACCTCCACACATTAATGCATGAAAAACGTACAATGTGAACGGCAAAAACGTCGGGCACAAATTGGACTGTTTTTTATTCTTTTCATGATTATTAACTTTATCCTCCATAATGAACCTTTTCACTCCCAATCCTTGACGAGAACGACACCTCTTCGTCTCCCTTTATCCCCCCCCCCTCTCATCCCAATATTATATCTATGCAGACTCTATATTCTGCTTCTATGCCTTTCTGCGCACCTCCACAAAGTATCAATTTTAATCAGAAGACGCAGATACATACTCATCAAACAAAATCTAAGATCCAGCACAAAAGATAGGCATAGCCCAGCAAAAGTATAATATAATATAATATATATAGGTCGATACCTTGGTGTTTTACCTTCTGTTCAAAGAGTTCCTGTGAGAGAGCGAAGATGCAGCATCTCTGCCAGATGTGCGGTGGACTCACGCCCATCTATGAGCACAGTGTCGCGTCTAATGAAATCCCGCAATGGAGGCACGAGGAAGTCCTCGGTGTTTGTGACACAATCGTTCCATCGCGCCACGGGCACAACCGGCGACAAACCCTCCTTTGTGGGACCTTCGTGCGCAAAGAGAACAATAAACTTCTCCTCGGTTTGAATCACTTGTTGCTGTTGCTGTTGCGGCTGCTGCTGTGGCATGGCTGAGCCGATTAATCGGGGAACGGGACAAGAGAGCAGCACTGGCCTTACCTCGCGCGTGTATTTTCCCAGTCCTCTCTCAACAGTTAATGCAATCAGCATACGCTCTGCCAGCACGGAGAGACGAAATGGACAGCCAAATGTCTCTAACGCAGTAGAGGCATTCGTCGGATCGCTGGGCTGGGCGTAATGGATGTCTTTGGTACTTTGAATCATGCCAGGTTGCATTAGCGCGCTGGTGGCGGCTGCCACTGACTCTTGCAGCATCCGCGCCTCTTGCACTGCATCTACAAATAACCTGGAGTTGGGATCCGCATCAATAATGTCATGGGCGCGCCAAAACTGCTCTCGACGGAATTCGCGTAATTTTTCCTTCATCATTGCCTCGCTCGCTTCTTCAGTGTTCATGTTTGTTGGCGGCACTTTTGCAAGCAGCGCCGTAAAAAGGGTGCAAACATCAAAGGTGGAGACCTCCACGCTATACCCTGTCGTGCGTGCCACACACCGAATACGCGTCGGGTTTTTGATAAAGCTTCCCCTTGTTCTCAACGCTTGTTTAAGTTCATTGTGCAAAAGCCGAAGCGACTCCACCTTGGCGTCGTCGGGAAGCTCGCCCCATGGTTGTTGGGCCAATTTTGCCGAGACACCGCATCGCGCCAAGAGTTGTCGCAGTGTACCTGTTCCATCCTCTACGTGGTGGAGGCTCAGCAGACTCGCAACTACTGGGTGGTGCCACATGGCCCCCCACAGGGAATAATGCCGCAGGAGAAACAACTGATCATCCTCGAAGTTTATGAGTTGCATTGTGTTGCTAGACGCGATCTTGTGGTGTCTGTTGAGCGTCTCGTCCGTGACATCATCTAGTGGCCCTCGGCGGATGCCTTTGCGCAGCGTCACCTCATTGTGTAGCCGTCGCATTTCCACCAGGTACGTTCCATAGTCGATTAGGCGGCGTGTAAACAAATCACAGACCCCGACCGCCGCATGCCACAGCACCGGCTCCTTGACGCGGTTCAAAAGAATTGCCAAGTCGTAGACCTCTAACGCGCAACTTTTGCCACCACACTCCGCCGCGTAGTAGAGCTGTTCAAGACCCTCCGGCACCTCCTCATTCATCCAGTCGATCCCCTCTTGGCTCTGCGAGGGAGTCATATCATCATGGGTTTCGGCGTCGTCATCATCGTCATCGTCGCTGCTACCGCTGCCAAGTTCGCCCTCTTCCCCCTCTTCGTCTTCCACGTCGTCGGCGACTTCGCCGTACGCACGCAGGCGACGCTGAGCTCGACGCATTCGCCTCCGACGCCGCCGACGCGCCTGCAGCAATTCTCGCCTTCGCTGCTCCCGGAAAAACTCCTCCACCTCCTCATGAATGCGGTCGTGTCCCCAGAGCACCAGCCTATTATTGTCGCTTGCGCGCAGATTGTCAAGAAGAAAGGGACGATAGGAATCAAGCACAATTACAATGTGTCGCCTCAGTTCAAAAAAGGACCGCAGTGAGATGGGGGCGCCAAGGCCAATGAGAACAAACAACTCATCTACGGGTTCGTCATCGCCCAAAATCTCCGCATCTTGCGCCATAGATGTGCGCTCTATCACGCCCTTCGCCTCCTCATACTCCATGATGGGGTGCAGGTTGAAAGGGACAAAGCAGGCCTTTAACAGAGTTGTTAAAGTGATGGACGCCGCCGCTGCATCTGCGTGATACGCCACCAGAAGTTGAATGGGCTTGCGGGTTGTGTGGTAAAAGCGGTTAATGTGATGCCATGGTGTCAGATGGTCTGCCATCTCTTACCTGCACCAGGTATCGTTCAAGAGTTATTCAACCCTTTTCTTTATCTCTTTTTTTTTTCGTTTGTTTAGTTTCGTCTGTATGTATGTATGTATGTGTGTGAGAGAGAGAAAGAGCCAGTCTATACTTTATGTCTGCGTATGTCCTACGCGTTATTCCACCAGCACCGCCGCAGAAAAGAAGAAACCACAGAAATATTTAAAAAGAGAACATATATATTAGGAGCGTTGTTAAGAGGAGAATCAGCAGGGTGTTCATTTCACACGGATGACTCGTCTACTCCCTTTACTCTTGAGAGCGTTACTGAATTCGCTATTCACCCCTTTTGTCCGTTTGAGACTTCTCTGATGTTGTTCCTTCAGTGGCAATACGGGTAGCACTGAGAAATAGTCTCCTGTAGGAGGAGCGGTGTAACTTTTGCAGCTTCCTCATCCAGCTTTGCTCTGCCGCTTTCCACGGCGCTCCTGAAAGCGGCACTATTGGCATCCTCCAGGCCACCACTCACGATGTTCTTCATTTCCCGCCGCTCCCTCAGCATCGTCAGGGCGATTTCCTGCCGCCGCAGGTACCACCGCCTCATCACCTGAAACAATGTGCTCGGTACCGTGTGGTGCAGGAGAAACTCCCCGCTTGCACGCGCCATGCGGAACGCCTCCCGCATGGACGGGTCCTCCATAAGCGGCGTCTCAGTGGACGCCGCCTCCCCAAGCCCGGTCTCCATGGCTCCTCCGCCATCCGGCCCCGTGACGGACATGAGAGAAAGCCGGGCGACCTCCATTTTTGATATCCACAGGATAACCTCTTCGGTATTCCAGTGCAACGGATCAGAGCGAGGCAAGTGCCGGTCACCGTGAGGCTCACCCAACGCGTTGAAGATCCGTTGCATTAATGCTTCTGGTGCCTGCAGTCCCGCGCGACCGCGCAGGGGCGGCCTACCACCAGTGACTTCCGGTGTCGCGGTGCCATTTCGGCTCTCCTGCCGCCCTCCCCCCAACATAAACGGTGGCAGCGGCATGGCGTCCACGGATGCATCCTCCGTATCCCGTTCACCGTCCACTTCATCCTCCGCCTGGCCATCCCCATCACCCCCGTCTTCGATACCAAGCTCCTTCACCACATACTCTTCGTACGTCGCGTAGTTTTTTTCAAGCCCCTTTCTTCGTGCCTGAAGTTCCCGTAAGTGCAGCTCCTCTGCCGTGAGTGGGCGCGGCGTTGCTCCGTCGCCGTCTCTGGATGCCGCAGCAGAATCCACGGCCTGGTTCCCCCGCTCCTGCATCTTCTTGACAGACAACCTACCCACCGTGGTGAATCTTGCCCACTCGGGCCCAAAGTGGGCCGTACGCACCTCGTCACTGGCCGCGGCGTCGGCAAAGGCGTCAATGTCCACGCCGCTCCAAGCGGCGTAGAAGCCGTCGGACGGATCATCGGTCGCCGACTTCTCGCCAAATGGGTCATCGGGATCCAACGATCGGTGCTTCAGCGACCGCCGCGCACACGCGCATGGAGGAGAGACCGCGATGGCCCAAGTACAGGTCGGCCACATGCACCGCAGCCTCCGCAACTGTATTCGTGTGAATTTCCTCGACGTCATCAACATCTTCCTCACAGCTCACTATCTTTTTTTTTTTTGTAGCTGCCCTTGTTTCTGTTCCCGTCTTTAAACCCACTGCTCGCCGTCGTTGTTGTCTAACCGTTTCTTTTTTTGGTTTTTAATGCTTCACAGCCGCATGGGGTTTAGAAAAGCTTCAGCCCCACCGCCGCACACGCACACACACACACGCGGAAAAGAAAGCCACTAGAGCCCAGCCGCGCAAGGACGGCTTGCCTCGCACCGGTCCCCAGGAGAAGGACGGGGTGGGAGAGAGGTGGCACAGCGCACGCTCCACTGCGAGGTCTGCCAGACCCCATGCACCTTCTGCCCATGCAGCACGCAGGCAGCGAGAAGGCACCCACGACGACCTCAAGAGTTGTAACCCCTACAGAAAAACAAAACAAAAAAGGTACAGAAACCCCCGCCTTTCGACAACCATTTACGCGATGGCGCGACGGATGGGGTTGGACGGGCCTTCAACACGCACGTTTGACACGACCGCTAACGTAATACATCGAGAGGAGGGCATTACGGCCTATTTTCCCCAGACACCCATTAGAGCTCACCATTCATTTTGCAGTTCCCCTAGAAAAAAAAAATTCCAAAGCAAAACAAAAGAATAAAAATAAAAATAAATAGGACCGATGCCTCACGGGAGGGAGTCAAGGTAATAAGTGACACACTACTTCGAACGGTGACGCGGCACACGCACGCAACCAAGCGGTGCGCGTGTGCCCCTCTCCTCCCGTCCCCTTCCTCTCCTCCCTTTCCTTCCACACGCACACCGCCACAGCGCCGAGGGCACAAGAAAAAAAGAAGTAAAAATTTTGCAACGTGCCCTCGTGCTAAAGTACAAAAAAAAAAAACTGAGAAAAAAAATCAACCCCAATAGTGGCGGCCCCAGTAGGGTTACAAACTACGAAAGGCTTCCTAAGTAAAAGAGGGTTATCCTTTTGCGATGCTAGAACTTCGAGGAATATCCAAAGGGATTAGCCTTATGGAACTTCCACGCGGACGCGATGATCTTTTCAATATTGTCATACTTCAACTCCCATCCAAGCGCCTTCTTTGCCTCCTCACCAGATGCCACCAGCACCGGTGGGTCACCCTCGCGGCGCGGAGCTTCCTTGACGGGTATAGGATGGCCCGTAACGCGACGCGCTGCCTCAATAACCTCCCGTACAGAGTATCCACGTGAAGTTCCGAGATTGAACGCGGAGAAAAACCTGGACTTATCCTCTGGTTTGAGCTTCGCCAAGTAATCCAGTGCGAGAATGTGGGCTGAAGACAAGTCATACACGTGAACGTAGTCACGCACACAGGTTCCATCAGGAGTGGGGTAGTCCGTACCGAAGATCGAGACAAATTCCGGAACAGGAGGCAGCTGCAGTCCTTTGCGACGTCTATTAATCTCCGCCGCAAGCAGCACGCGCAGAACAAGCGGAATGAGATGTGTCTCTGGTTCATGATCCTCACCAATGTCTCCATCCTCATCCGCCCCACAGGCGTTGAAGTACCGGAGGCAAACACTTTTGATGCCGTAGGCAGTGGCGCAGTCCTGTAGGAGCCACTCCGCGATGAGTTTTGTTTCGCCGTAGGGGCATTCGGGGGAAAACTTGGCATCGGGACGGATAGGCTCCATGCTTACCTGCCCGCCACTCTCCGCTGCATGCGCCGCAGGGTTCCCGAACAACGCCGCCGTGCTGGAGAAGATGATCTTGTCGCAGTTATGCGCACGCATGGCCTCCAATAAGCGGATAATCCCATAAACATTGTTGTAGTAATAACGCAAAGGATCTCGCACACTTTCTGGGACAACAATATACGCACACATATGTACGACAGCATCGATGGGGGCATGCCTCGTAAAGACATCGTTCAAAAATGCCTCATCGCGCACATCCCCCACCTCCAGTACAGCGTAGCGTTCTGGATTGACATGCTCAGAGCCGCACTTTTGTTTCCGCAGTAAGTTTTCTTTTGTGTCAACATGCTTGGAGCATCCGTGCGTCGCTTCGAGGCTGTCGAGAATGACAACGGAGTGAGAAGTTCGGCGCAGAAGCGAACGAACGAAATGGGTCCCAATGTACCCGGCCCCTCCACATACCAAAACCTTCATGTTAAATGCGGTTACCGAGTCCTACAAATAGTTTCCCGCCCGTCTGCAACAGTCGCTTTTTGGTGTTTGCTTTTGCTCGCCTTCTGTGTAAGGATAATGAATGCGTACAGGGAAAAGGGGTTGAAAACATCCAGTGACACTTCCACGAGTTGAAGTGATGCACGGCACACAAGACACACATGTAACTCCCACCACCCCCTCCTGTTCTCCAACTTCACCTTGCATGCATGTGGGGCGGATGCTGCCGTAGGAACCGACTGTCGCTCCAGCAACAAACAACAACATATGTATAAATACTGTTTATATATATATATATAATTTGTATAACACAAACTGCCGCATGCGGGGAGCATGTGTGCCCAACGGGGAACAAAGCGCAAAACACGGAGAAAAATAAAAATGAAAGTAGCCGCCATATACAATAATCTCTTTGAGCGGCGGCACCGCTCCTACCGCCAAGCCTCACGGGCGTTGGAGTGTGTATGGGCTACACACCTCCTCCTGTGTACGCAGCACGCTGCCCCTCCCCCTCCCAGCGGCATATGTCCTCCGCATCGCCTGCCGCTTCGTCACTCTCCTGCACTGCTACAACTGCCACGACTGCTTGTTTTGTGCACAACCTTGCGAGTAGCGGCGTGTATCTGCCATCACCGCACTTCACGGGCCCTGTGATAATGCCTGAGAGGCATAAAGGCACGAACGCAGAATGGGTAAAAAAGTGAAAGCAGGATATGAAAAGAAAATATGTATATAGGGCGGAATGGCATCAATACATGAAATCAACTCTGCTCGAGTGGACACAGACCAAAAAAAAAAAAAAAAAAACAAGTGCCCCAAGGGCAAATTACACACAGGGAGAAGGAACGTGTGAGGCGGGAGCAAAGACATAAGTAATAGTAGAAGAAAGCATGTACAATCTCAGGTGATGTCTCTTTCGCCTTTACAGAATAAAGGCAAAAACAACCGCAACAACTACGACTTCGTTGGCTCCGCCGGAATGATAAAGTAATAAAGATTGGGGTGCAGCCGTGTTGAGGCGGGTTTAGTTTCAGGAACCGCAGCATTCGCATTGCTTGTCTCACCCGCTCTCCCTGCTGCTGCATACAAGTCTAGCGAATTGTGACCCATACCTTGAACATTTAGTCGGACAAAATTATCGGCGAGCGAGAGACCTTCGAGAACCCTCTTCTTAAGGTCTGCGTTCATCACGTTGCTGCCTTGCACCCGAGCCACGATAGTGTCAAAGGTGTGGTGTGCACCGACAAGTGTAGGCTCTGTGCATAGCACAGGAACAACGCCAACGAACCGGTCCGCGAAAACCTCGGCAGCCGCAGTGAGGTAAGACATTCCGGCCCCTGATGGATTTCCGAAAGAAACCACCGCCGACGGCGCACCCCCACTAACCTCAGCATCTCGGCCAATAAATTGGTGGTACTTTGCGTTGTACAGGCGCACAAGCACCGACGCCCCCAGCGCCGCTTCATCGCTTGAGGACTGTGTGTGCCACACATCGCCAAGAACAGAAGTGGGTGCAGTTCGCGTCACGTCACCGCCCTCCGCAATGGCGTATACGGCATTATGTTCTTCGTCTCCAAAGGCATCGGAGCTCAAGAGAAGCCGCAACTGTTTCCAGCGTGCAGAAATTCTTTTCACGCGGTGTGCGAGCTCCGAAATAAACCCTGCGACGTCATCATCAACGCCAACAATGTGAACTACAGGAACTGCTGACGTCGGCATCGCACAGCAAGAGGCCATAAGGAACTGCAGAAGTGTCACGGCGGCCGATGCGGATGGCGTTTCCAGACGCTCCGTGGGGCACGACTGCAGGAGAGGCGTGACACGTTTTTCATAGTCTTCTCGTGCCTTCTGCCAAAGTCCACAGGACTTTTTGTGTCCACCCTTCCAATCCATAATTTGATGCTTCTTGCAGCAATACATGTCCACCTTGCAGCCACCACACCGCAGGAGTTTGTCTCGACGGCGACCACACCACGAACACTTGTGGTCGTGCAGTGGGGCAGGCACCGGCGTCACGTCTCTCGTGAGCGTGTACCCGCCGCACCCACCGAGATCACTAGTAGAACACACAGGGGCAATATGATCTGAGAGAAACAAAAAGACGCGTCTCGCCGCCTCCCACTCCTCTGGTGAACGTGGCGACTCCTCAACAATCTCCAAGTGCGGAGAAGCAATTAATGTATCCTTCACAACCGACCCCGTCGGCCGCCGGAACACAACCTTTGGGAATGTGTAGCCGCTGCACGATCCCTTGCAGAGGGGCTCTGTTGGCGTCTTTATGGCGAGCGGCGGCGACTGTGCCAAAAGAAATTCCAAATAACGATCAATGTCGTCAAAGGCTATACCCTCGAGTGGTGTCAATTGCGCAAAGAGTTCGCCGTCTTCGTGCATCATATCCCCGTATACCGTATTGAGACTTTTCTCGTCACATAGTTGGGACTGGAGATACAACACCTCACCGCCATCCCGCATCAGGTGCAACTCTGCGCCGATGGGCTGCGGCTCCAGTGGGCCGGGGTCAAGGTTGTCGATCGACACCTCCTCCTTTTCTGCGTAGAGTCTCTGAACGAGAAGCACATACCACCTTTGCCCCGGCTCCTCCGCAGACGTTGGCGGTGCCAGCGTAAAGGAGGCTACGTTGCCCACACGCATCTTCAAGTTACGAAGCGCCACACGACGTTCTTCTAACAGTTTGGAAGTTGCCCGTCGCCGCCCTCCCTCCCCCACACAGCCCGCTCCATCCCCGACAAGGTTGTCATCGGGCCCCTGAAACGTAGCAGTGTACAACAACCTGTTTAGCCGTGGGAGTGCGGCTAGAATGGCGTCATTGCCCTCTTGAGACGGGGCCGACACATCAACTGCTTCCTTCGTTCTACGGCGTGCCCACTCAATCGCCTCCTCGACGAAGGCCGGCAGACGACCACCGCCGCCGTTCACCGCCCCTGTACGATCGATCGTTAGACGATGAAGCCTCACGGACACCCCTTGCGACGTACGCGGAAGCCGCAGCCGTCCAACTCTATCCTTGTACTGTTCAAAGGCGTGCTCGGAAAAGAGACCCAATCGATCGTGAGTATTGCCCACGGTCACGCACACCACGGAGAAGCAATCGGGGTGGAGAGCCGGCGGCACAGCCTGCAAAATGTCCGAAACGAACTCTGCCCCTTTCGACTCCCACATCACCCCCCTGCAGGTGTGCGTCAAATCATACATCAGCAAGTGCCACGGGTCGTCGTCCGCCGCTGTGATAATTTCTCCCTCAGTGCCGGAAGAGGGAGACGCAAACAGCAAATGAAATACCGGCGCGTACAGCCGGTTAGATCGCACATCACGCGACCACTGACGCCGAAAGACAACCAAAAGCTCCCATCGTGCATACCGCTCCGTCACACAAACTCCCAAGTCCCCTGTTCGCGTGCACGCCTCTCCATGACGAAGAAACCCCTCAGCAACCGACATAGCGCGCGGATACGGCTCAAGTGCAACAACGGCGGAAATACAGCCCTGGCCTCACTAATGCAAACCAACAACTCCCACTAAATAAACAAAGAGCCTGCGATCACCAAACTACACGGCCCGCCAGAAATAAAGAAAAAAACACAAGCAAATTTCAACAGCAAGGCACTTCAGCACAAAAACACATCCTCAACTCTTCTTTTGTGGTAAATAAAATCCAACGTTTCATTCCGTCAACCAATGAAGAATAAAAACGTCTAGAAACGAAGAGGTCACAGCGACTTCATCGATATTAAAACAATTTAAGATCCACCAACACAACCAACTCCCACCCCCAACTTTTTTTTTCTATGTATTCAACTGCAGCGTGTACCCGTCACAAAAAAAAAGTAACGAAAAAAAAAACAACCACTACAAAGAAGTTACAACAAACTCCCATTTACTCCTTTATTCCTAC